ACAAGCCATTGAGGAACTCACAGTCTGAGTCACTCAATGCATTATCGCACTCTGATAGAACGGCAGATCATCATCCTAGTGCGACTGAGAGGAATTTAATATCATCGAATATTATTGTGAGTAAATTGCCAGAGTCTAACGATCCAGATCCTAAGGTTAGACACACCCATGACTTAGAGAGGCCCGGAGAATATATCCGTAGCATATTACCAGATAACACTAAAGGTGTTCAGGTCAAAAAATTAGTTAGAATAGGTAAAAGAGCCGATGACAGTGTTCTACCCCGACCGTGTAGACTCCTTAAGGTAATCTTAGGGTCGGAGAAACAACGTAATCTTCTGTTAAGTAACGCTCGAAGTCACGACAACTCTGACATTCGGATGCGACCGGATGTGTCTCTTGAAGATAGAATAAAAAGGAAGACGGCACTAGCTGAACTAGAAACCCGTCGACAAAACGGTGAAGAAAATCTCCGATTGGTGGGTTTCCGAAGAGTCAGGTCTTGGAAGCGAATGCTACCAAGGCCTGTGTGGATAGGTCGTTCCCCCTAGGAGTTTTATATGCCAACGCCCGTAGTCTAAAACATAAATTCTACGAGCTAGGAACATTAGTGGACAAATTAAGGCCACTCATTGTAGCTGTGACGGAAACTTGGTTAGTCCATGACTTCGATATCACCCCAGAATTATCCGGATATCATTGTTTAAGAAGTGGTAGACATAGTTGCAGGAAAGGAGGTGGCGTCCTTCTATACATAGCCAATAGTATAAATATCCGCTCCTCCGCTTTCGAATCCCATGATAGTGGAACTAGTGAAGTCATTAGCTGTGAACTCACTGTCGGATGTTGTACATTTGCACTCGGTGTCATCTATCGCAGCCCAATCTGCTTAGCTGATGACTTTATTTTAGAGCACATTCGGCTATGGAGTGCAAATAACAGATGCTTGATATTAGGAGACTTTAATGCACCTGACATTAGTTGGACTGAGATGACCACGAAATGCTCTATAAACTCATTTGATAGCAGGCTCTTGGAAACAGTAATGGAACATGCATTAGTACAACATGTATCCAAACCTACACGTTTCGGTGTAAACCAAGGTTCTTCTCTGTTGGACTTGGTAATTACCCATGAGACTGAGGATATTGCCAACCTAAATATTCTTCCCCCGTTAGTAAATAGCGATCACGCTGTTTTATCATTCACGTTTAGAGCTAGCGATATGATATACGATCAGATTAAGCCTCGCCCAAACATATGGAGAGCTAACATACCAGAAATTCAGGATTGTGCTACTAAGATAGATTGGTCAGTAGATACTAGCTCATCAGTTGATGAGGCGTGGTCTGTATTTAAAGGCAAGTTTAGTGCAGTCACAAATATTTACAGCTACACTATAGTGAAATCAAAAGTACAAACACAAAGAACTTTTTTATAATAATAATAATAATTTATTCTCAAATAACAGATTGTTACATGAGGCATGCCCGTTTACAGGCAAGATCAAATTGTTAAAGAAGTTACAATTTTCACTGTTGAAAATTACTCAGCTGGGTTGATATTTCATAAGTTATGAATGTAAATGGATTTCGTAAGAAACATATCAATAACACACTTGGCACACTTTATGGAGGTAGCGTTGCAACATACAACTGATGGTCGAGAATAGATACATGCGAAGTTGGGGGCATTTAGAAGTTTCGAACTTATATCCCTCCAGAATATCTGAAGCTTTAATAATGGTGTAGGACGAAGTCACCCGTGCCATATCTGTTTTCGGTGGGGTATCTGCAGGAGGCTGAAAAAGGTGTAAGAAAAAGGAAGGACGAAAAGCAGAGCACACAATATTCATGGAGGAATAGTTAATGTATAATCATTTAGTCTATTTGTCTGTTAATGAAGTATTTATTAGGTAAGAACATACTAATGTGTTAAAGAAAAATAAGTGTGGGCAAGGTATGAGTGGGTAAGGAACTGTATAAATGAAGGTAGTTCAGAAGAAAGTATGGAATTGTGTAATTATAAAGTACTGGAAACAGTATTCCGATACAAATGGCTGTCTCCTTTTTTTCGAACCTGTTTGAACTCTCTTTTTTTAGATTTTATAGGGTATAGAGGGCGAGACTAAAGAACATGGACGACCTTTGAACGAATCTTGACCTTGAGAAATATTAGTAAATCAGAAGACAGTTAGTGTACATTAAGAATTTATTGTACAAAACCAAAGAATTAAAGTGGATACACTTCTTTTACACGAGTTATAAACTTATCAAGGTTGGATATGGGTTCGGAAGTTTTAAAATCGTATTGCATGCGGTACATAAATTCATCCATATGGCTCCATAGTAGTCTGCCTCTGGAGCCATAGTAAGGTCTCAAAAACTCCTTTAGTCTCGACCACATAGCTTCTATGTTGTTGGTATGCACCCCAGTAGAAGGGTCAACGAAATGTCGCTTATGTATAATGACTTCATGCACATATCCCAGTCTACCTAGACATCTGTAAGCTCCCCAATCATCTGTATAAATAGTAGTACCCGGTAGCACATATTGCTGTATGATCGGTATGATTATTGGTGCCTTCCGGTTCCTGAATCTTTGAAAATGTCCTTTCCGTAATGATCTATCATATATTCCAAAGACCTGTTAGGTATATTTATGGAAGAGGTACTTGCCCAATCTTCTTTAATACAACAGCCACGGTTGTATTTTCGTTTCCTTACCACCGTTTCGTCTATTTCAACAATCTTTCCCACTCCTCCATACAATTGGTGTATGCTTGTCAGTTTTGTTGCGCATATATCTCTGCAAAACTCGTACCATTGAACTTCTGAAACTTTGCTTACATCGGCAAAGGCGTCAGCTAGTGTTACCGGTTCTTTTATTACCCAATTCGCAATAAGGAGCATAATTTGTCTTAACCTTAACTTTGAGCGAGCGAAAAATGTCCATGTTCTAGCTGATTTCTTCTTCCAACATGAGGGACATCGAAAGATAATATCGTCACGATAGTCTGCACATTGTACAAAGTTCATTTGACAACCGCAGTCACAAGAACAGGAGCTTCTCATTAATCCCTTTTCCTGTAGTCGCTGAGTTATCACGTCCTCTCGAAAATCCGCTGTAAAGCGATCGTACGTAAGCAGCATGTTGCGAAATTACCGCCGTGACCTTGAAAACCCGCGAAAGCTTCTGATTGGCTCGTCCATGTTCTTTAGTCCCGCTTTCACTTAGAGCCTCAGGCTTATAGTTGTATAATATTTTGAGATCATCAGCATATAAGTATGGTTTCCCAGATTTTATGATGTTACATATAACGTTTATATACATGAGAAACAAAAGTGGGCACATTACACTTCCCTGGATGACGCCACTAGTTATTGGTCTAGGTAATGAGAGACTATCGTTGTACTTTACCATTTGTTCACGTCCCTTTAAGAATGAAACAAACCATGAATAGAGTGGGTTGTTGATTCCCAAGGACCGTAGTTTGGCTAGTAGCTGTTTGTGTGAAACCTTATCAAAAGCTTTCTTAAAGTCTAAAAATATGACTGATACAAGGAGTCCATTGTCTCGTTTCAGAGTTATATCATTCATGTAGTCCACTAGGCATGTATCACATGATCTGGACCTAAGAAATCCATGTTGGGAGACCGAGATGAGATTATTAGTAATTAGATGTTGGACTAACGCCGCCTTAACTACTTTCTCCATCACTCTAGACACCACTGAAGTTATATTATGGGTCGGTAATTTTCAACATTTGCTTCAGGTCCTGTTTTAATTTTGGGAATGATGTGTGTAGTTTTCCAGGCAGTAGGTTAATGCGCTGTAGAGAGTGATATCGCAAATAGTTTGAGTAATAAAACACACATATCATCGCCTCCACGTTTTAGCATGCTAGCCAGAATACCATCTGGTCAATCAGTGTAGGAGTGTTTCAGTGTACTAATTGCCTTAGAGATATTCTGTACATTGAAGTCTACGTTAGTGATTAAGTTTATTTTGAGTGTGGTGAGTGCTGAGGAGTTATTACTAAGTTCGACAGCACGTTTTTCCTGTTCGATTGCTTTTTGTGTACTTATTGCGTCTGTCTGGACAAGTATTTCTGTCATCGTTACTAAAGAGAAGAAATCATTAGAGTTGTAGAAGCGAATACAATGTCTCTGCAGACGTCTTCTTGTACCGACTGGTATATACAGATCTTTAGAAAACTTAGGTCTCCAGTACTCTAAAGGTGCGATTTTGTTGATGATACTTTCGATGTTGTGATAAAATATATTGGTTAATGTGTCGGTATTGTTTGCAGTAAAGAATGTTCCTCAGTCAGTGCTTCTTAGGTAATTGTGAAAATTATTCCAATCTACCTTGCGATAGTTTCTACGAATGGTTGCATTTTTACGTCTACCGTTTGTGTTTTTTATATTAAGGCTACATACGACAGTGTTATGATCACTACCTGGAAACCTTTTTCCAATATACACAGTATTGGGGGTGAGGCCACTGGTAAAGACCAAGTCCAAGATATTTTAGTGTCTGGTAGGGCTACTAACATATTGAGTCCACTGTCCTAGTTCTAGACATTCAATAAATGATTCATAACGTTTCGGAGCTTTGACTGGAAACCAAGAAATTTCAGGCATGTTGAAAGCTTGCCTGTGAATGGAAGGGATGATGCTAGTGTGAATACCTCTGATAATACTGCTATTTCACCTATTGCCAAGTTAGGTTGCCGGTAGATACAGCCGAACAGTAAGGTCATGGAATTTGATGGCTTTAAAACAATCCACACCGAGTCCTTCAGTTTGTTTAATTCAGGCATATCGTATAGTAGTGAGTTTAAGCTAGAGTGAGCATAAGTAAGGCATCCTTGTTATGCCTGAAACTAAATCGATTCCGCGGTAACGAACGAAAACCAAATGACACAATGACACGATAAGCTATTCTAATCTGTTGTCCCAGGCCCCGCTAACTAGATGAAGAAGTCCAAGGCAAGTAGGGGAATATATATGTATTCCGTAAGCAGCCGAGTACAAGCAATCAAATAAGGGAAAAAGTCAAGCGCATTTATACAGTAACAAATTGTCCTTGAGCACCATTAGTAAATAGCACACATAAAGAAACAAAGGACCAATAGCGGTTAAGATAGTTTACAGGTGGGAAATATGACGTGAAGGTAAAAGAGCGCTTTTGGCGCGAAAACAGCTAAATTCAAATTTTCAAAATAAAACTACAAGATTAGGCCATTTACCAAGTAAGTTCTGGGGATTTGACATCCCCAACACCTCCCCTTTTTAGTAACGGACATTCTTTGGGTCCACCTGCATTCTAACTGTCTGTCGCCGTTGGCGCAGTGACCATCTTCGGGACCGTAGATCGACCTTTTGATCTTCTTCATGCGTTGGGACTGCCGGCAGATTAAATGTATCCAATAGTACGTCCAGCGGAATCTTTACTTCGGTCGATGGGCGCTCTGGTGTTAACCGCTTGCGTAGTTGATTTCGATGTCTGGTCCATCTGTCCGTTCCTACCTCAACCTCATACATAACTTCTCCCATCCGTCTAACCACACGTGCTTCGATCCAAGGGTCACGATTTGCTCTGTAGTCCCGAGCGAATACTGGGCATCCAACGTTGTACGTGGGTAGCTTCCGGGACGTGGTTTGTATTAGTGGTGGTGTGGATTTCGGCAGCATCAAGTTGTGAATGGTCCTCAGCCGTCTTCCCATGAGGATCTCTGCGGGGGACTTCTGCTCCGGCAGCGTGTCGTTGGGGGTCGTTCTGGAAGCAATTTGTATCTCAGATTCTAAGACTGGCAAAGCACGAACAGCGGTTGTCAGGTAGCATTGCGCGTGGTCTTCTGTCGAAAAAGAAGCGATAACGGCATCTTCATCGGTCGTAGAGTGTTCGTTGATGAGTCGTGACAATGCGTCTGCTTGACCAAATTGTTTGGTGCGTCGATACTGAATGTCAAAATCATACCCCAAGAGGATCAAAGCCCATCGTTGGAGACGGTTTGCAGAGTGGGCCGGGACGCCAGATTTCGAACCAAAAATTGCGAGAAGGGGCTTGTGATCCGTAAGGAGTGTGAACCTCCGACCGTACAAAAATTTGTGGAACCGCCGCACCGCAAACACCAGGGCGAGAGCCTCCTTCTCTATCTGACTATACTTCCTTTCTGCCGGGGTCAGTGTTCGGGATGCGTGCATGACAGCCTTCTCTGTTGCGTCTGGAAACTGATGAGAAATGACGGCTCCTACGCCATACGCTGAGGCATCTGCAGCTACAATGATTGGCATGCATGGATCGTAGTGCGTTAATAACAATTTCGAGCTGATGATGGACTTCAGTTTACAGAATGCTGCGTCACACTCTTTAGTCCAGTTCCACGTACTGTTCTTGCTCAGTAGGCCATTCAGTGGGGCACGAATGTCATGCATTGAAGGGACGAACGCGGCATAGTAAGAGACCAGTCCCATGAAGGAACGCAGTGCGGAGATATTCGTGGGTGTGGGCATCTGTCGTATCGCTTGGACATTTTCAGGATCCGGTCTGCGGCCGTCAGCATCAAAAATAAACCCCAAATACTTTACGGACCGTAATAAAAACTGGCATTTCTCAGGTCGTAACCGGAACCCGTTTTCACTAATGCGTTTCAGTACCGATGTCGTTCGCTCATGTAGCTGTTCTAACGTTGCGGCAACAATTAGAATGTCGTCAAGGTAAGCCGCGACTCCCGGGATGCCCGATAAGATAGTATCCATTAATTGTTGGAAAATAGATGGTGCAGTCTTGACACCGAATGGTAAACGGTTGTACTGAAATAACCCACGGTGAGTGTTGATAGTAAGCAGCTCCTTAGATGCTTCGTCTACTTCAACTTGCAAATAAGCATCAGCAAGATCCAGTTTTGCGAAGAATTTTCCCCCATTCAGCATCGTAAACAAATCTGCCGGAACTGGTAAGGGATAGTGGTGTTGTTCAAGGGCTGCATTTAGACCTGTAGAAAAATCAGCACATATTCGTAAGGTGCCGTTTGCTTTCTTGATGACCACTATCGGTGCTGCCCAGGCGGAGTAAGAAACGGGAGTAATTACTCCTTGTTGTTGGAGGCGGTTTAATTCTTCATCTACTGTTGGTAACGTCGCATAAGGCACGGGTCTTTTGGGACGAAAGACAGGCTTAGCTCCAGGTTTCAAACGAAGCGTTGCTTTTAAGGTAGAACACTGTCCCAAACCAGGCTGGAAAATCGATGAAAACTGCGCCATTAGCTTCCTGGTATACGATTCAGTGCCATGAGGTTGTGATATCATGTGGCATATGGTATTTAGTGGGACATCAGCCAATTTCAGTTGATCGAACCAATCTAAACCAAGTAAATTTAGATCAGCTGGAGTTATATGACATACCCCGGTAAATGACGACTCCCGGAAGGTCACTCTACATTCCAATTGTCCTTCTAAGTGTAGGAAATTACCACATGCGGTACGAGGCTTTTTAGTTGTTCGCTGCAGGCTTGGGCGACCCATTTTGATCCAATTTTTGTGAGAGAGGATGGTGACGTCTGATGCGGTATCTATTTGCAATCTAAAAAAATCTCCATTAATATTAATGTTAATGAATTTCCTCTCACCTGGTGATGAACTCTGACAAGAAGATACCAAGCTCAAAGAAGAGGTACAGGGCTTTGGAACCGTCTTTTTGGTATTACTGGATCGATTTGGTGTGCTCTTAAGGCAAAACCCGTCCTTGTGGCCAACAACCTTGCACTTCCTGCATCGATGTTGCTTAAATGGGCAATTCCTTACGTAGTGCCATGCACCACAATGCCAGCAAGGAGTGGAGGGATTTGTTCTGGTCTGTCGAATTGGGCTGAAATGAGTTGGACTGAATGCAGCGGGAGCGCACTGATTCTGGTTAGTTGTCTTTTGGATTACTCGTACTTCCGATCGACTAGACCCACCACTCTCAACCATCGACGTGTCTCGTTGTAGATTTACTAGGCGTTGATATTCATTAGCCATGTCATTTAGTGTGAGTTTTGGATCTTGGTCCAATCGACATAGTAGTCGCGTTCTTATGTCACTGAACTTCTGGGACTGAAGGCTGCAAATGAGGATAAGGGCTTTGAACTGGTCTTCAGATAAAGACTTTAACCGGAACCGTTCGCATTCACGGTTAACGATGCCCACATGCGTAAGGAAGTCATCGTCTTCGTTCATAACCAGCTTCAAACATCGGTAACGGGTGTTAAACAATGATGAATTGTCCCCAAAATGTAGGCTTAGTGTCTGGACTGTGTCTGCGAAAGAGCGATCACGTGGATTCAATGGCAGGATCAAATTGCAGTACCTGTCCAGCTCACTTGCACCCAACTTCCGAAGTAGCAGTCGTACCTTCCAAGCATCATCTTGATTAGCAAAATCAAATTTAAATAGGTCTTCATAACGCCGGAACCACATGTCAAAAGTAACGTTTGCATCAGGATCATAATGAAACTCAGCAATACTATTTGCGACGCCGTCTACTGATGGTGCTGTGGTTGCATTAGCTGTGCTAGGCTGTGAAGGGGGCGAAACTTTCATGTCTGTCAGCATTTGTATGAGCTTCAGCTGCTGTTCAAGTAATGATTCGAGTTTAGAAGGATCCATGTTTCCAAACCACCGTCGCCAATTGTTATGCCTGAAACTAAATCGATTCCGCGGTAACGAACGAAAACCAAATGACACAATGACACGATAAGCTATTCTAATCTGTTGTCCCAGGCCCCGCTAACTAGATGAAGAAGTCCAAGGCAAGTAGGGGAATATATATGTATTCCGTAAGCAGCCGAGTACAAGCAATCAAATAAGGGAAAAAGTCAAGCGCATTTATACAGTAACAAATTGTCCTTGAGCACCATTAGTAAATAGCACACATAAAGAAACAAAGGACCAATAGCGGTTAAGATAGTTTACAGGTGGGAAATATGACGTGAAGGTAAAAGAGCGCTTTTGGCGCGAAAACAGCTAAATTCAAATTTTCAAAATAAAACTACAAGATTAGGCCATTTACCAAGTAAGTTCTGGGGATTTGACATCCCCAACAATCCTCCGCCTCGTCCTTTCAATCTATCGCTTCTATATAGGAGGTAGTTATCAAGAGATATACTTAGATCGGAAATATTACTGTTAGTCCATGCTTCAGATATCATTATAAGTGATGGTTGATATATGGAAGCAAACAGAGCTAAATCAGTCTTCTTATTGCAGATCGACCTAGCGTTGATAAGACACATATTAAACAAGTGACCTACTAAGTTAAAGTGAGTGAGAGTATCTCGATTAAAGATGTCATGACCCTCGCGTGAGTGATGTATGTTTGAAGTAATGGATTGAGCGTTTTTCAATAGCTCTGTATTTTGATAGCTAGAGTTACTGGGGCATGTATCAAATGAGCTAGTGAAGTTGCTTGGGGAGTTTATCCAGGAGGAAATGGTGGGAGTACTTTCTGATACGAACTGTACAGTAATCATTCCATGTTACATCTCCACATTTCGTTACATTCCCAACCGTATTTTTGATCGTAAAATGACTGCATGAAGATAAGTATTTGAGAAATTTCACTTTTACCTAGCTACTGGCGATTTTTAAGTAAAAATTGTTGACTTTGCTCTCCACCATCATCACAAACTATTCACCGTATTTCACAATTATCTGTTGCTCGTGCATCTTTTGGCCTCGCTGAATCTGTATATACTGTTCTCTCCGTCTGGGTAATGATGTTGTAGTGTTATTATCTGTTATTTATCTTCCGACGGTTGCATTGTTTAAGAATACCTAGTTTATTTATCTCGTAATTGATTGAGCTTACTTGTAAGAGTTCGCCTTCTGGACTTATTGAAGATTCAGGTTACATCTGCTCGAAATTCTTTTTGCGTAAATGCGAACAGCACAGGACGCCTCGTCCAAAATTATCCCTTATTACCAACTTCAATAACGAATATCTACAAAGTAGAATTGCAAAAAGATAAGTACTTTTTATTTTTGGTGTTGTAAGCAGAATCAATACAAACTACTTCTGAACATTTATCATAAATTTCATCTGCTCATAAGTGCTAAAGCAGATTCTGGTGACATATTCATTTTCTAAATACTCTCTTATTTCCCGTTTTGCAGCAATATAAATACTTGCAATCATGTATAACAACCTAAAATATACTTTTTGACAATTACCTGTGGAGAGTTGAGCTTTCATAGTCTTCATATCAGCAGCAGTAACCTGCTTACCAGTTCAATCTTTAATACTTTGTATTGATTCATCTGCTGATACTGACTGAAGTATAATCGGCTTCAAATTTCCTTTTCCTTCTGGGGACAATCTTCTGGTCCATGGATTACATTTCATCCATAAACTACTACAAGGATGATTGTGAAGCATCTTCTATGATTTTATGACTTGTTCCTCAACGTTCAATTCTACATGAAACCTCAGTTGGCGGTTTCGAAATTTAGACCATCAATGTCACACCTTAGTTGAAGTTCTCAGGGTTTTTCATTCATTGTTAGACCTTGTGATTACGCCTATGACCAAATGTGCAATGAAACACCACAAACATCTATTTAAATTCAATGTCCTTCATCAGTTAATCTTTGCCGTGAATGAAGTGAGTATGAGTGGTCTGAGAAGGGGTAGGGATATTTTTCCATACATTTTGAAACCCCCTTAAGACACGGTAAATTCAATCCAGCTTCCGAAAAGCCTGTTCACTATCATGAGTTGAAACGCTTCTCTTAATTCGACTGGGATGTCTTTTGAACGTGAATCACTACGAACAGCACTTATTAATTATTAAAAATTTATTTCTTGCGATAATACTTCAATAATTGAAGAAAGGACTACAAACATTTAAGATTTACCGGTTACTCGACATTTCGTGTAACCTCTCACGGAAAACAACGATTCAAACAAACTAAGAGTATCTTTGACTATTAAGTTATTCTCAATACGCTGTTTTGTAGACCCCAACAAATTATAAACAAGGACAGTTACGTTAGGTGGGGTAATTGGTATCCTAGATGAAGTTAGGAAGCAAATATAGAGCAAGGTTGTACACTTCATAACAGAAAAAGCTAAATTAACGCTTTTCTCATTGATTTTGCGAATTTAAGACAGTGAAACACGACTCAAATATGAGAAAACCTGATATTCGTGCAATCCAACGGACACCCAACAGAGCCCCAAAAACTCAAATACGGAGTGAGCGCCTATTGGAAGGCCTTTCAAGGTGGTTAAAACGAAACGGCGGGCGACTTTGAAAGTCTTTGACTTTTTTTGCCATGCCCGTCAATTTGTGATAAAATACCTCACTTTTAATTCCAAAACATTATTCTAAGTACGCATACCAGTTTATAGTTCTAGTAAGTAGGTAAATTGTCTTGAGGTCATTTAAGGATCACTCAACGGTCGCGAATATATATTGTAGTCTCACCCCTAAATGCTGTTTTTCTGTTAGTGTAAATAATTCTTGCTCCGAAATCTTTGGTTTTTTGTCCTTAATTTCATTTCGTCCAGAAATTATAACCTATTTCTGTAATCTTTTGAAACTAAACATAAATTCGGTTGTTAGTCTAGTTGTAGTGGTAAACTCCCCTGCTCGTATGTTAGACGGGTCTGTAATTTGTAGGCCATTATTTTAAGTCATTTGAGTCTCTGATCACTGGAATACCTACTCGTTGCATGTTTGTGTCATGGAAACCAGTTGTGGATTGTCATAATTTATAGTCTTAGAATACAATGTCGTTGCAGTTATTTGTAGGAATTTGTTTCTGTGTACTGATATCTATACCATTCGTTAGTTGTATACCGTTTAAAGGATACATAGACCTATAATTTAATTCTTAAATGTTCTAAAACCCAGTTGCACGATGACTTTTCTGTTGCCTTGGATTGTAAATTAGATTGCTTGTGTCAGTTTAAAAGATGTCTAGAAACCTTGTAGTATCCCGAGATCTGAACAAGATTGGTGTACGAATTCAGTTAAATACTAGATAAAGATAAATTAGCTGTTCTGTATAACTAGTAGTGTATAACGTAGTAGATTGATTCTTGTTCATTATTTTACTCAAGATGGGATGGTTGGGCGCTTCAAATATTTTTCTTGACTTCCAGTTTGGTCAATATAGTATCCGTAGCACTAGCTTCCATAGTGATCTGACGTCTAGCTGGAGGCCAGAAACATCTAGTTAAGACATGGCACTGGCCTACAGAATAATGTTCGTTCAGAGAAGTATGAAGAAGTGCCGACTCCATTATAATCAGTGGCTCTAACATTTTCAATCTACTTCGACTTGCGTGTATACTTTCGCACGCTGGTTCTTAGATTTCCAATCATAATTTATGCTTCTTATTTGCTTCATTTCTTGTAAAAACATTCTCTACGTCCAGTATTATTCAATATCGTTTATTCTTTCGTTCGTTAATTCCCTCTTACTGCATTGACTTAGTATGGAAACGTGTGCCTATTTAAAACAAATTCGTATCGAGTAGTACGTTGTTCTTGTTTATTCAACGTAAGTAAAATCTGTTCATTTTACTCTACTGTTAAAATTAGCTGGGATTCTTAAGTTTTAACTTTTTAGGGAATTAGAACCTGTTGATCCCCCTTTATGTTTTTAGATATTATCTTCCTGTAACCTTATACTTCAAAATGCTTTCAGAAAAACGTAAAAAAGTAAGGTATTCAACAGACCCAAATGGGAATCTTTGGGCTACCAATCTCAACAATTTTGGCAGAAAAATGTTGGAAAAATATGGTTGGGCTCCCGGAAAGGGTTTAGGAAAAAACAGTAACGGTATTAAAGCCCCTATAAAGGTATCACTTTTATTTTCCAAAAGATTTCTAGGCTTCAACACAGAAAGGCACACGGGGGCTGGGTATGAAGTCGGACTTTGGTTTGGGTATCCGGCAGATTGATGAATACGCGAGTCTTCTGCGTAAGCTAAACAACGCCCATAATAGTTCTGATAAAACAAATCCAATCAGTGAATGTTTACCAATGAGTTGGAGAAGTGGTATGAAGACTTTAGAGGCAAAGGATGCATCTAAGTATGGTCAGCAAGATCTGTCCATTGTTCTTGGACATACTCAGCCATTTTTGAAAGAAAAAATAGCTTCGCCAAATGCTTCTGCAGAGAAATCTGATTGTCAAATTCCTACTGTGATTAGCCCATTATCTGTCTCTGAATATTTTGCGAAAGCGAAGAAACGCAGACTACAAAGCGAGCCACAAACTTGTAGTTTGTTATATCTTTTTGCTTCATTAGATACTTTAGGTTTGGCTGATGTAAAGTCAACCAAGTCAATTGAAATTATCGTCCCTGTCGATCAACACGCTACATCAGTAAGCTCCAGATTTTATATGGGTTGTCATGATAACAAGTATTCTGTTTCAGTAAAGATCAATGATAACGAAGAGTCCAAATGTAGGAAAATTGAAGAGCCATCAAATCATGAAGAAGGTGAACTGATCACACCACCTATAGATCCTGATAAAAAAATAAGACATGTCGAAACTATAAATGCAGGAGAAAGTAAGTAATGTCCCGCAGTAATTTATCCTTTGTCGTAGATGTCATTAATTCACTATTCATACAGTCCAACTTATTGTCGATTCCTGGATACTGTTATTACTAATTATTTCTGAGTAAAAATTGTACCGACCAGTTTGTTTTTTTCTATAAAAAAACAAGAAATTATACCATGTATATATTGTTAATTTATTGTAAGGTAACACTTATGTAACGTTTATCGATGTTTACTTCAGTTTCTAATGGTCGCGTTTTTGTTATTTTAAAGCGCAGAAAACTTGTCGTGTTTTTTCAGCTAGGTAACTTTGCTTATTCCCATATTACTAATGTGATGATATAGTTATACAGGTTATAACGGTTAAAAAATAATTTTGAACTTCTTAATGTGGTCGTCTCTCGGCTTTAAACCTTATCAATAATAAGTGATAAAATATGTTGTGCTATTCTGGGTTGCGTAAAAGTAAGTTCGAGAATAGTTGAGAGTGGTAAAAGCAAAATTTAGTATTACCGAATGGAGCTACTGACGTTTGATTTAATTAATTTTAGTAATGTTTTTACAGTCCTCAGAGTAACTGTATTTTATTGTTCAAAACTTCAGGTGACTGACTATCGATCAAAGTGTTGCAAATGAATTTTTCCTTATTCTGAATCTTCAGCTCAGTATCATGTGATGATTCTCATCATTTTTTTTGAATTACATATCATGTGTAGGTTTTCAGAGTCACTGACATAATTATTATGACTACTCTGCTTTTTATTTCAGTAAAGTCCTTTCACAATATACGTGTAATACGACAAACTAAACCAATAAAAGTTTGTGTCGACTCCGATGTTATCTAACATAGGCTGCTTGGTCATTCATCCTTATTCACAAAGCGATACTTAAAATGATATGAATAAATACAGCATATAGTTACTAATAGACAATTAACTATACATTAATAGGACACATGAGTGATCAATTACTTGTTCGTTGATATAATGCTACCACTCGTGTAATTTTAATTCGCTCCTTGTAAATAACTAGTAATTTGACTTTGTTCCGAAGTACCAGTATAGAATTTTAAAAATTCTACAGCGTTTAATCACCATTGATAAAGCAGGACTAAGCGAAGAAACCCAACAAGGAATTTGCTAAGTCATAGTACTCCTGACTAAACAGAAAAAGACTGACTCCACATTTACCCGCACAAGAGCGAGAAACCTTAAAAAGATAGGTGAACAAAAAGGTCATCGTAATAGTACCAACAGACAAAGGTAATTATGGGCGAAGATTGCATGAAGTAGGCCGATGGCCTACTAAAAAACAAATCCATAACAACCACTAATGACAAATCCTATTTAAAAATTCGACAGCTGAATCAACAGAACTCTAAGCAAACGCGTCAAAGAAAGACAAATTGCGAAACAAGTTCAGTGACGAACAAAATCCACTGAACTTGTCCACTCTCAACTTTACAACAGATCAAAGATGAATTAAATATCTCATCACAAAGTATTCTGTTACGGCCAGACACCAACATGCATTTTGTGCAAACGACTCTGTGTGGAAATAAAACATCTGACAGGATCTTGTGATCATTCTATCGATTCTCCAATTTAGTCCCCTGAGTGCACAAGTTTCTTATAACTCACCAATCTGTGCTGTACAGCATATCTCTAATTCAACAGACAAACTAATAGGATCCCCTGTTTCACGAATAATTGAAGATACCGTGATTCAAAGACTACAAGGTACATCTCTACTAGTAATCAAACTGAAGATTTCGATACGTAATGTAGGTGACACACTCGTTAGCCTGAAAAGAGAACTCGGAAATACTCATGATTCGATAAACAGCATTCTCAATAATATCAAATTTACCAGTCATAAAAAAGCATAAGACCGTCCTTGGACGCTTGACTCAATTGGACAAATGTACGGAAAATCAAGCCACATGGATGAATACTAAACTACAACAGCACACAAAGGCAGCCGTGTTCAAATGCTATTCAGGGAAGTGTAAACCCACTTCAGTGCTCTCATTTCACGAAAAAATTGGGAAAACCGATCTTCAGTCCATCTCCCTCATCATACTACCAGTAAGTATTCATCTGACTATAACTCTTTATCCTATTCACACTCGAGAAGCTTCCTTTTATCCCAACTGTAGCACTACCTTGTTCACCGGCCAGCCACTCCACATGAAAAACACGTAAATAAACGTTGGAAACACACTACTTCTGACAACATGAAGACATGGTAGTTGAGGTGATAATAGCTAAACGATCCAATCTTCCTACATATGCTGCTAGTTACCAAACAACAACTCATAAATGATTAGCGCGCTGGGCTCAAGGTAACTACGTCCAGCAAGCGGAGCAGTTCAGTCCACATTCCTATACTTTTAGGAGTGAAGTGATCCACGTGTTCAGTAAATGAGAAACGAACTCTATATATTTTGAGGTTTCCTACCATCTTTTTCAACATACCATTGTCATTATCATCACCTCATTATTTCGACCACCTACTTGACGATGACTATAACTGTTCTCTCGCAAGTCATGATAAACGCACGTAAATATTGTCTACTTACTAACACATACGCCGTTAGAATACCTTTCGTGCGTCTACTAACTAAATCTGTTCAATTTAGTGTTTACTGACCTCATTCTCTTCTTAGTCTTTGAACATCACGACTGTTCACCTCAATTACTTGTCAGTTTTTGAAAGTATTAGGTTATGAATTGAAAATAAACTTATCCATTTACAAAGAATACTTCAGATTTTAAACTTGGCTGATGTGAGCTACCACGCCTAAGGACTTATTTCTCAGTCGACTTCGTTATCATCTTACTTAATGCACGGTATGACCAACATTCCTCTGTCAAAGATCGTTCTAATTCAGTGAATTTTATGTAGGCAGTTCGGTAAAACTAGATAGCAGGCTTTCGTAAGTCACGCCCAGACAATGACCGAAAAAATCATTTGCTTTAGGCGGAGTGCTATTTAGTATTTTCACGCAACACTGATAAAATAACTATTGTGAGAATCAACAAATCCATATTTTTTAAATCAAAATATTTATCAATTTTGAATTTCTTACATGAACATTAGACTTTTATCAATAAATCATCTTTGATGTGTTCTAAATTTTCAGCGCAGCCAGTCTTCGACATGACGAAATCGTCTTCTACTCGCATACCAATGCCAAGAAAGTCTTTTGAAACGCCCAGTTTCTTCAGCTCATCTCTGAAGTAAATACCTGGTTCTAAAGGGAACACAACACCTGCTTCAAACCGTTTTGAACTAGGTATTGTGGGGGTGTCATGGATATCTAAACCAAGATAATGTCCGACATGATGTGGACATACCTGTTGAGCAACCTGAATTTTGAAAATAAAATTTTCGCATAAGGTCAGTTTAAAATCGTAAAATATATCATGATCACATATTTGGAGAAAGAGCATAAATCTTTGCGCTAAAACTAATCTAGCGGTTTGACAAAAGTTTACAAGTTTCGAAATCTAGACTTTAAGTCTAAATCGTGTTTTTTATAAAGCAGCAACCTTAAGGAAAGTGCTTCTGTCTGGCGCCTAGTAACAAAAATATCTGAAGACGAAATAGACAAGATATTTGTGAATCTTAGTTCCAGATTGTCGTCAGTGAATTAAACTATTTTTGTCAGCAATTTGGATTTCATGCTAAACTATCCATCCAAACGTCTATATAGTGCTAAGGTCAACCATTAGGAAACTCTCAGTGTGACTACATTTCATATGAGCATTCAAACCACATTTAAAGAAAGTTTGCGTGAGATTATTATTAAAAAAATTTTCCGTTAGAGGAACTACATATTTCGAAACATTTGAAAAGCATTATAAGAAAGATGAAAAGTTATGTCCAGCATATTAGATGAGTCTTTAAACTCGTTTCGTGGTTGCAGATCCACGTATTCGACCTCAAGTCACACTGTGTGAGGACTAGTAGTACTGACCAACTCCCAGAGAGAGGTAAAATGGGATCAGTCAGCTACAACATACGACTAGGCACATGTATGCGTCGTCCTAGTTGCCACACTTCATTACCGCAACACTATGGACACCAAATTCATAGGAGTAGTTGGTTCAACGGTAGTAATAAATAAAAGGAAGATTGCATATAACGATATTGTTAGTGGGATATAGATTGGATTAAGCATGTTTTATGCATGATGGTGTTGCTGCGCGCTGATTGGTTAATTTTAAACCGATAAGCCCGGGCATATTATTACAGAAAAATCTATAAGCTTCTTATGCATATACTATAAATATATGAACGATATTTAAACTATGGATTGCTGTTCACTTATCATTATTATTTTGAATACAATTTAATTCCTGTTCAACGTGTTCTGATTTTGGGGTCTTGTCGAGTGTCATCGTATAAGAATACTAAGCAATAGGAATAGCTGGGTCGTTTATATAGCAAAACACAATTATAACAGATATAATACAGGGAAATTAGTTCGTAGAGAGAAAGGTATAAAGCAATTTTAATTTCACGGTTTAGTGGAAAACACCTATACCAATGTGATTGATTCTGAGTCATGTCACTCAGAATATCTAACCATTGGTTACGATAGTCGCGCGGCACCCAACTAAGTAGTCTGCATCTACTAACAATGCTTAGGGTGAAGTGGTTTGTGAACATCCGAACTATAAATTGGAAGTCGTTTTTATATCGTATAACCACCACTCTATTTACAAAGGACATACTGCCCAGACTGAAGCAGGATATGTCAACCAATAATTGTTGTCAATCAGTTTAAGTAGAAATCAAAAACTTATGCATCTTTCTGAAAACACATATCAAATGAGCTCGCAAATTTTTTTGCAGTACCCGTTTCACTCTACTATGATGTAGCGACTGAAAGTACCGTAGAATTGGTCAAAACTTCTACTAATTTTTAGTTAAGTAAAATTAACACCCAACCATTAATAGATGGTTGTATAGTAGATCATCTTAAAACCAGCAACAGACAGTATATGAAAATAAGTATGTCCATAGCAAGAAGTAATTTAAATCAAGTTCAAGGTACTGGAACAATCGTATGTCAATTAAGTATAAAATCACGGAAATACCAATCATAATACTGATGGGAGTGTGTAATTATGAAGCAATTTAATGAATAAAAGTATCTGTCAAAAAAATTCAACTTACGTAAAACTTGTCCTGATCTGGGATAATCCCCTCACTTATTAAGTGTCGTCCTATTTCAGACAGCATATGGTGATATAGATCTTGCAGACTTTGTTCAGGGGAGGCTAAAGATGCACATGAGTTTTGTACATCAACTAATATTTCATGTATAACTTTTTGGGGTGCCGAAAAGTTTCCTAATGAATAAACAGATTTTAATATGTAATTACAATGTTTTGGATTTGACCTTATTGAAAAATTCACCAACTATAGAGGAGTTAGTAGGTACTAATGTACATTTTACTGGACAGCGGAACCTAGTATAAGTTAAGGCAACGGGTTGAAAGTTATAGGGTGGTAGGGATAAGACATCTTACCTGTCCAGCCTTATATCTCAAATTTCATAAGTGGGATGAGATCAGATAATTCATCAAACTGACACAAAATCTCAGGTACTTCTTTAAAATAAGAAGTCGAAATGATCTGGTACGACCAATGTCTTACAAGGCTTTGATTATTTCTACGAAAATATTCCGGAGAGTGAGTAAGGAGTGTGGTTATGTTGCATGATAAAAACTATGGATGAGAAAGCGATAAGTATCGGCGACATTTACCAAAGGACTAAAAAGGCGCTTAGTAGACAAATCATGAACATTCACTGAATATTAATACCGCACAGTTCCACACACACAATCATCTATTTTCATATTGTGTACTTTCAACATTTATTTGTACGAACTAATGATCCTGTCGTACTTGAATACCTGTTGATTTTGAATTCCAAACATAATATGCTTATTTGTGCTTATCTAGTTCTACTTTCTGTAAATTGCTCTATTTTGGAAATTCCTAGATAGCATGATGATTCGAATACCCCTAAATATAATACTTATGTTATCCTATTTACTAAAGTCAACACTTGAATATCGTTGGATAGGCATTTAGTGTAGATATGATTTTTAAACGTCACATACTTTTCAATAATCTTGATTTCGGTTATTACCCTGAAGAAGTTTAGACAATTTTCTTCGATGAAAAGTTGGAGTGATTTAAATTTCAAATACGAATTTCACAAGTAATCTTTTGACTTGCCGTACTGACCTTACAGGCCTTCAGTATTTGTATGCTAGGAATTACCGCTTGGTATAAATGATTAAGATATTTGGGGGCTACTTTTTTGAAATCGATGCTATCAATGACATAACAATTCGTGGAATCTAGTTAGTTGGAAAAACCTGATCAAATCTGCCTAGCTTTAATTTTTCATTTTGCAAACTTCAGAATTATCAACTGTTCACATTAGGTAAACAAAAACACTTCAACATACCGTTAACTGGCCAAGTTCGGGTAATATCGGAAGTATATCCGTTAAAGCGACACCCAGCATCCACCAGAACCAATTCCCCATTGTCTATTCTCATATTGTTCTTCATATAATGAATGATGTTTGTTCTGTCCCCACCAGCGACAACAGGTGGATACCCAACAGTACAGCCTCGGCTGCGCATTTGGTATTCTATGTAACTTTGTAAAGCAGTTTCAGTTATTCCTGCTTGTGTAATTTGCATAGCCGACTTAAGAGACTCAACTGCTGCAATAACCGAAGTTTTAAGTTGTTTGATTTCATAGTTTGATTTTATAAGGCGAATGCTGTCGATTAAGTAGTCTGGATTTTCAAAACTAATTCTTTTGTCGTTAATTTGCCGGGAGAATTCTAAAATCTTTTTCAAAACGAACTTATTTAAGGGGCGCTCAACAAAATTTTTGGATGACAATGGACTATACCAAACACATATGGATTGTGTATATAAAGCTTGATGGTCCAAAAATTTACTAAATTCACTCAAAGGATGGGAATTATCAACCCCGGTTGCCAAAGAAGCTTCTGATAACGTCAAGGATGGACCATTCCAGATCTCAGCATGTTTGTTCCGAGTCTCCACGAAAAGATGGGTCGACCAGTTAAGGTCACTTTGATCGTCACGTTCTTTTGTTTTATCTGTGCAAAATAACAAAATTCCATTTGGTTCATTCAACCCTGTGAAGTAGAAGAAGTTGGGATCTTGGTGAAAAGGATATGGGACATGGTATGCCATATACTGTATTTCTGAAGCTGGTATTACCACTATATGATATGAAGGCTTATTTACCATCTGTTTAGTGCAAATATTCACTTTGTTAACAAAGATTTCACGGCGATTCCTCAATTCTATGAGAGGAACAGAGGAATTGGCGTTTGAATAGGATAAAGAAGTGCATGACCGTCGAACTAACGATAAGGCTGAAGACCGTATCTTCGGAAGTTTTTTGAAAGCAGAAATCATATCTCATAGATTTGTTGATGATGTTGAAAATCCATATCGGCAGGTTGGTTGAACGGAAAAAAATACACAAAGCAAAAACTGGATCTACAACCAAATAATATGTTTTAGCTATTCCTTTTACACAAAAGCCTTCAGTTTTCAAAAGATAAATGATTAGTAGTTGGCCCTTGTATTCTTCTGCTACAATAACAGCGATATCTAAAACCAAATGTAAATAAAATAACCCAATTGAGATATTTGATCAAATATGTGTATTTCATATAATGTCACAAAATAGTTTGTGCAATTACAAAATTCAGGGTGCTTACAGGTCAATAGAAAGTGAAGCAAAACTTGGCTTCAAAAAATCGTTTGCAAATACTATGGTACTTGAACTTGAAAGTACAACCAAGAACAAAGCGAACCTTTTAAAATGTTACTATGGCTTCGAAATCAATAAGACAATTAGTATAAGAATGACGATTTTCTACGTAGACTTGAGAACCTTTATCTTAGATGACGACAACGACTTTACGACCTAAGCAACCAATGAACGGGATATTAAGGAGAACAAACAGGAAATACAGAAGACGAAAGCGTAAACAAAAGTAAAATGTCGACTTTTGCCTTTACATTGGTTATTTAGGGGAAATGTCGATTTTTCCCATCTACGTCGTGTATTTGGTGGAAATTTGTAGTCAATTATACGTAACGCACGTATTTGAATATGCCGCATCCTATACTTATATTTCAAATGGTTGAGAGCGGAATAGAAGAAGCATTCGCTTAACGGGCTTCCGTGTCTAGTAGCAGTGGATCACCAATACCTCCAGGCATGATAACGATAATAGAGAAAATAATAGGATTTGATAAATAAGAACGCGTTTAATTTAGCAGATTCAAAACCGGATCACGCAGTGATATTTTTGACTACAGACCAATTAATTTGACATCCGTGTTGTCAAGAGCTATGGAAAAACTCATCCACAAACAGCTATTATCATTTTTGCTTTCGGCTAATCTGATCAGCCCATCCCAACACGGGTTTATGACCAAACGCTCATGCTTCACATCGCACCTGGAATTTTTTGATCAAATTGCCCAGAGAAGAGATGTTGGTCAGTCTGTGAAAATTCTGTACTTCGACTTTAGTAAGGCCTTCGACAGTGCCTCACACAACCTTCTTCTTTTGAAACTCTCTTCATATGGAATACAGAATCCCCTTTTATCTTGGCTCAAGTCATTTATAGAAGAACGTAGCCAAATTGTCCGCTTTGGATCTTGCTACTCCAAACCTATGAAAGTAACCAGTGGGGTTATACAAGGAAGTGTAATTGGTCCATTAATATTTCTCCTTTTTATCAATGACGTTTGCTCCCTCTTTCAATATGGTAAACCTTTTCTTTTTGCCGATGATCTAAAGGTTGTTTATTCATTCTCATCTCCCACAAAAGAAAGCTATATTTCAACGGTAATCCAAGAAGAAATAAACAAGTTGTACGAATGGACTATTTTGTGGAATTTGTCACTTAATGTTGACAAAAGTGGATTTATTAACATTGGCCGTTGCCTTAACTTAAATCTGGCTATACACAAACATACACTGAAACCTCAAATCACTGTTCGTGACTTGGGTTTAAGATATAGCGACAGTTTGAACTTTTCTGAACACATTGCATTTCAAGTATCCAAAGCTAGAAAGCTCATCGGATTCATAATGATTAATTTCAATAATACCGAATCGAGATTATTATTATACAGAAAATGTATCTTACCAATTCTTGAATATGGTATTTTAGTTTACAGCAATTGCAGGCATAATGACCTGATTAAAATTGAAGGTGTTCAAAGAAGGTTCACCAAAGCTATTTTGGGGTATTCTGACAACAAATACTATCATCAAAGATGCCAACAACTAAAATTATAACCCCTCTGGATCAGGCGTGTCAAATTAAACCTTATCTTTATCTACCGGCTTCTTAACGGTATTTCTTACTCTTCGCTATCTACCCCTTGATACTTTATCATACCGTCCCACAATCTATGCAAAAAGGAAAATATTCTTGCGATTCCAAAAACCCACACAAATTTACGCCAGAATTTTTTCGTTATTCGCTATCCTAAGTTTATTATGTGGATCATGTACATATTACTGTTGCTTTTTACTAACATTTACGTGTTTAGATAGATAGATAGATAGATGAAATACCAACGACCTTGGGTAGCAAGCTAACCGCTTAAGAAACACTATCTAGTCACGGAACAATAAACAATAAAAAGCAATCAGTTTACGGTGGAATAATGGTGTCAGTATGACAAATTATCCTTTACACGCTCATTCGTTCATTACAGTAAGGGGAAGAGATTAGGCTCACGTACCAAGAATTGAGCTATTGTTGTGCGTTATGGTTACGACACTGTATGGTCTCATAAACGACCAGTTATTATGCCAAAATTTTGGGGTTGGGTATTGGGAGTTAAACGGGAGTCATGTTTCAGGATTACAAATTGGGTTTGAAATATTTACCCCGAACTAACGTCAAATGAGATACAATAAACTTGCGATTAAGAGAAACAGTTAGAGTTTAGAATGAGAGAATACTATTTAGTAATACATGCGTCCCCGATTATGTGTCAAATCTAATAAAGTAAAATGAGAAATCATCCTCATCAGAGGCTGGCAATTCATCTGATTTGTATCATCTAATTATTATTTTCACCAATTCGTCGCATAGCGTGGTCTTCTATTCTTGAGATTAATAAAAATTCGTACGAATTTCAAACATATAAAGAATCAAGCATGGCAGAACACCTAACCTGCTGCTCACGAAGTAAAAGCTGCCTAACATTCTAGTTGTTTGCAGTCAACCTAGAGGTACCTCAAGTACTTGGCACCGTGCAGATTAGCGAGGATAAAAGAAAGTAGAGGATAAGAGAGGGAAAGATGAACTGGTGGTTCAGCAAGCTCATAAAATCCCCTACAAGATTGCGTGCTTTGGATTTCACGCGAAAATATGCCATAATCTATCTTACACCTCGTCAGTCAACTCAAGTGTGTCAGCAAAATGCATTTGTGTAGGTACTTGTGAGATTACGATGGATAGGGTTTTAAAATGTCTATTTCATCATGCTTTTTCACGCAAAGGTGTCATAAAGTGAAGATTAGATGAAAAAATTATTAATAGGTTTCTTTAATCTTCTCTTAACTAATTGTGATACACTTTAAGCTCAAGATACGCCGGTCTAAATATACCAGTCTGAAATGAAGTGTACATCGCCATTACAGGCGATCTGTGTGTATGGTCGGGGACATTTTCAAGTTGGATAGGAATTGTTTGGGCTCTTAGTTTACTCCGAAGTCGGGCTGAAGGGACGCCCCATCCAATCGGAACTGGATGGAGCCCTCTAGAATATCAACGTTGCACGCTACGATTGGGCAATAGTATAACTTACCTCCTTGAAGATTGGCTGTATTATAACGATGTTATAGTCAACGCTAATACCTGTAAATACCCATGTACTTCTGTACATTTATGGTTCTTACCCAACAATTACTTCCCCTGCTTCTTCTGATTTGCGGATGTGGAGTAATTCACTTTCTAGCACCGTAAGTTGTACATCGTATTCTGTTATAATCAAGTACAGAACGTAATACTGATAACCAAGTGTACTAGTGGCAACGCCAGTTACTGTTGACCATGTAAAGTCTTAGTTTGAACGTCAGAAAAACGGTATTGTAACAATAACAATTTGCGCGAAATTTGAAAGTGGTAACATTTTTTAACGTCGTTTAGAAATTCGTAGACTTATTCTTTTGTAGGCTGTATTGTCCTTATATTATCATCCTATGGAGTTTATCGCTCACACTTTTCTCTAGGTTAATAAATTTTAACCGACACTTGCCCAGTTAATAGAAATTTCACTGATCAGTACTTCCCTATATTATAACTGAGCACTTTTTATCTGTAATACGTTATGTACTAATAGTCTCTGATCCTATTATTAACCCGGTTAATATGTACAAATAATTATATACTCATATATATCTGTTAGACAGGTTTTTAACTCATACAGCTTCAAAATACGTCTAGTAACTCGGGTAAAAGAGTGATTTCACCAGCTTTCAAGCCTACTAAAAGGTCAAAGTCCGTAACTCCTAAGACTGATGACTCAGTACCTGAAAATGATAAGCATTTATCCTTTGAACCTCATTCTACCTACCCACAAGTATCACTAACACTACCTGATTCTCCATGTAACAACCTCTATATCTCTTCGTGCAGTATGCCAACGGTAAGACTAGTTGACATAAAAAGCGAAATGCCCACGTGCATCAAAAAGTCAACACAGTCCACCAAACCGCATGCTTTACTTAGGCCTAGGTCCAATATATCAAAAACCAAGGAGTCTAACAGTGTATCTCACGTATACGATAATGCTGATCGATATAGTACTGACATTCGTCAGTTACAAAACTCCCTAGCCGAAATTTACAGTAGACTTAACCAACTAGCACCGCTCATACACATATGGGGTATTAATACAGATAAAAATCTCGAACAACTCACTAAAGTTGAGTGTATTTTAGAGTTTGTGGCTGAAGATGATGTCTTCCCACAATGCAGTAGTTTACAATCTCCCTGATCGCATGCACTCAAATAAGTTGAGGGACATCTTCCTTAAAGCATGCGATATGCTGAAGGTCGTCTGTCAAGTCATCCGCCTTAGAAAAAAGTCGGATAGATTGACTTGCCCTCTACTATTTAAGTTTGACTGTTGTAACGATGCAAAGCAATTTATTGATTTGAGCCAAAATACCAGCTCATTAATTCCATACAAAAGCATAAAAGTCACTCCTGACCTAACACCGTGTCAACGTCGTATAAGAAGACGTGAAGCAATAGAATCGTATTATAGAGTAATAGTAAAAAATCAGCTAAAGACAGTATGCAACAAAATGAATGATATAAAGCGCATGGATAACAAGCATGATGTTATACCACAAACGACTGGTCCATCCG